AGTGTGACCTTGACTTTTCTAGAATAAAATTAGATTATACTTTATAACTGTATTTAAAGATTATCATTAGCCCACTGTAATTCACTGGACATAGCCTCTCCCAAGGCATGATCTTAAGCCCTCCTCGTTCAGTTATTACCCACAACCCTATGTTGGCGCTCCACCTAACAGCGAGGCGTCCTACGCTAGGTTTGCCAATTCGCATTAAGGACTATTTAGACTATTAGTCTAAAATTTTTTAACATTCTTGATACCTATATAAAATACACATGATTTTTGTTAGTCTTATACCTCTTGCCAATTCATATTTAATAATAATAATAATCTTTATTTGTCTCAAAAACTTTTCACACAATACAACTGTTGCCCATACAATAATATTTAAAGATATGTTATATATTTTGTAAATTTTAAGATTCTTTAAAGTACTAAAAATACACGTGATTTTTGTCAGTCTTAAACCTCACCAAGTCACCACGTATCAGCAGGGCTCTCCCTGGTGATACGTGGTGACTTGGTGAGGCACCTGACTGGACTGGTTTTTTATAGCACCTTAGCCCCCCTCCACCAAAGTGTGGAGGGGGGCTAAGGTGCTATAAAAAAAGCAACACATGATTATTGGACGGTCCCAAAGCAGAATATTGGTCAGTGTCTGTGGTAGCTTTTGTAGACTGTATCATGTAGTATATTAGAGAGCTAGAGAAACTTAAATATCATAGGTACGTTGTATAAAAGGATTATTATGTTTAATGTTATTGATATGATGTGTTGTACGGCAGACTACAGTGCAAGATGTTAAGAGTTGATGGAGCCACTCGTCTTTCGAATACATTTGAGACTAGCTGTACCCGCGACTTCGTTCGCGTGGAATTAAAAAAAAAGTTATTTAGTCAATTTTTCTAAAATAAAAGTAGCCGAAGTTACTCCTTATATATCAGCTACCTGCCAATAAAAGTCCCGTCAAAATCGGTCCAGTCATTTCAGAAATTAGCCGGAACAAACAGATTGACAGACAGACAGATAAAAATTGTAAAAAATATTATTTTGGTGTATGTACCGTATTTATATTCATATGCATGTAATAAAAAACGGTTATTTCAATATTACAAACACACACTTCAATTTTATTTATATGTATAGGTTTCTTGGAACCTTGCACAAAAGGAGTTGGGCTACTGTTTCTTCTAAATCAGAATATTGTTCTATTATAATAATAATAATCTCAGGACAATCCACACAGCGCCATCTAGACCCAAGTTAAGCTAGCTAAAGCTTGTGTTATGGGTACTAGATAACTGAAACATATACATAGATTTTTTTTGTTGTAAATACATACAAATTATACATAGAAAACACCCAGATCGATACAAACAATCATACTCATGAATACAAATGTTAGTGCCGTGCGAGGAATCGAACCCGCGACCATCGGTCGTAATGCGATGTGCTAACCGCCATACCACCGAGGTCGTCAAAGAGGTCAGTTATTATAGTAGTATACTACACTGATTGTTGTCGTCGACTTTGTTCTGTGAGATAATCTTTCGAATTGTCAGATTGCTAAGATTAACATAGTAGTTTTAATCAGTTGTCTAATACCCATAACACAAGATCTGCTTAGGTTGGGACTAGATGGCGCTGTGTGAATTGTCCAGGGTTTTTATTATTATGCAACGTCTCAATACTTCCCAAATTATTAATATGTGGCTCCAATACTGTCTCCTAGACTATAATACTATTGTGTCCTTATCAATAATTAGTATCGAACATCGCCAACTGTATGTAGAAACCGTCTCGATATCACAAATGTGTGTAAATAGAAAGCGTGCGCTTATAAAGTTTTATAATATGCGTTCGATTTGCGATCTTATATAAGAGGGTTTAAGGTTGTTTTAACATAATTTTTAAGCGTCGAGGTAAAACAAAAGTGTACAGCGCCACAAATGTATCTGACCCGGTGGCCGAAATTGGAACTTATGTCGCCATTTTGACTTTTATATTGACGTCAAATCTGTTTTCCAAAGCAAAAAGCAGTGACGCTGTCAGATTAGTTATAGAACTGTATATCCCTAAATTGCATGTCTATTTTAATGCTCTATAGTAGTTTTAGTGTTTGTAATTTTTTTTATCGCTGAATCTATAATAGAGTAATTATCCATTTTATTATTATCTAAATGACAGCTTGTACATAGTTGTGGTTCGTATCGTTTGCACTGATCGATCCTCGGTCCAATTCAAACGGGGAATGAAATTACGACGGCCTGACCCGAGGTTTCAACCACTAGCGGTGTCTAGACTAGGTCGTATCCGTCAGGTAAGGGGTTTTTTTTGTGGATGATTGAATGGTGCACCCGCCTGCGCTAACGGTTTACGCTGGCGGGGCACCAGTGGAGGATGATAAGATGAGCATGAAGTCAGGTCAGTTTGCCCATCGTGACAAATTCACCAGGAATTTAACACGATGGTTTCCAGGGGGAACCGCGTGGAGGTCGACCTGACAAGGTACATTGCTAGCAATGGGATTATTACAATCCCCATCTCCCCGTTAGGTTAGCATTCAGCACTATCGCTCGGTGAAACTGTAAAGGCCAGATGCGGCCAACAGCATTAGAACAGTTCGAAAAAACATCGTTCTCGGAAACCATAGATCAAAAGATCTAAGCGGATCTAATAAACAGCGAAAGCGACTTGATTTTATACTGTGTAAAGATATAGAAAACTAAAATGTGTATATTGACATTTGATAGGAAGAGGAGTGTGGTAAAGTAAATAATCATATAATCATAATAATATCTGATATTGCGTTGTGAAACATTCGAATATAACTGTCATGAAGAGAATAACGAAATGTATATATTACTAATCGTTTTATTGTTAGTTTAACTAGATTACGAGAGTTATTGTATAACGCCTTTCTTTTTTTTATAATAAAATGAATTAATTGTTATTTCTTTGAAGAACACTTATAAAAATAAGGACAAATTATTGCTGCCAATTACATAAAAGAAAAAATATTTTTAAAGGATACTTAATTAAAAGCGGCCAGGATGCTCCTATGCGGCGCTGATTATCAACAGGACCTTTTACTACCAATAAATACTTCGGTTATTATAAAAAGCTGTGGACTAATAACAATAATAAAGAGAGGATAATGTTTTTAGTGATAATGAAATAGAATATGTCGAAATGATATGTGTTCTCTTATTTACTACGTCTTATGTTGTATGGTGTGAGTGTTATATGCGGTGCTTTGTTGGTAATACAGAGGAATATTGCAATCAATGTTGTTCTCATTGTTCAGTTATTTTGTATAAAATTTGTGTTATTTTTTGTGATCTCAGCAAATTATAAATTATGTTTTAATACACAGGAGCGTTGATGAATTTCATATTAAAATTAAAATCATTGAATATAAATAGATTCAAAGTGAAATATTTGTAAATAAAATAAATGATATATATATAATTAGAGATTTGTGAAGATGTTATTCTAACGCCATTACAGAAAAAGGACTATGGAATAGAAAATGTTTGATGTCGAAAGACATCGGCATTCATGCAAGTAATTTCTAACATAGGAAATGAGTTAGAATTGTTTGAATAAATCACAATTATTCCATCCAATAGAAGAGTATATATACATACAAATTCTATACGTAGTTTAGGTAACGCTTTGTAATATCATAGCAGAGGGTATTATTCATTATTTTATTTACATTAATTTGACAAATATTTGTATCAAATAGGACAGAGTCTATATACTATAGTTTGGTTTGATTGGAATGATTTTGAGATATCCCGCGCATCTACATTTTACTTGTTAGCTATGGATTTATTACACTATCAAATGTAAAATATCTGTGTGTAGTTAAACGGGTCTTAGTAAGAATAATGTTATGGTAAATAAAAGTATTTACCTCTCGAGATTTTGAACAAGTTGCACTTAGCCGTGGTCATGAGCTGACTGGAGTACAGCGATGTCAATGTCGGTAGGTGTCACTACATTGTACAATGAATGCAATAGCGACAAAGCGCTCACGGTTTTCTTTGGTTATTGACGGTAGTTGAACAATCAGTTATCTAATCGAAATGTTGAGGTAAATACCTTATTTACCATAAAATTATTCGTGTACCTACTACGTCAATTTTGATGTTATAGACCCATTTTAAAATTATTATTCGTTTCTAAACGGCTCTCCAAAAATGAGGTTCTCGATTCGTCTGTATTTTTTTAATGTTTGTTACTTCATAACACTACCTTTAAAAACGGATTTGTAAAATTGACTTTTATTTGTATTGTCTTTCAGATTGGTCCCGTTTTTGTTGAGTTATTGGAGTCGCTTAGAAATTATTTGTTGGTTTCAGGATTCTATTTATATGATAGTGTAATATGTCTATAAGTATATATGTTAAGGAGTAAGCAGGGGCAGTTTGCATGTGTTCAAACATAGGAAGTGTACTGATGACAGTTGTGTGCATAGTTTGTTGTTCGTTTTTTGTATTTCGTAAATATTATTACTAATATAGGTTACTTGAAACATTATTCTTTGTTTTATTTTTTCTTATTCATTTTTTTTAATGTCGCAACACTCCATCTATTTGAAAAAAGGTAAAGTTTGTACTGTGGGTACAAACGTAGTAAAGTAGATAACTGATAACTACAATATCTCTAGAATAATATCTACTTACATATGTATGAATATTACAATACTGTTAAATCTTAACATTAGCTGTTATATAAATATAACATTAATATTATAACAATTCGACGGCCTCGATGTTCTAGCGGTTTGCCAGAACGCCGACGGTCGCTAGTTCAATTCTGGCACCACAGTGATTTCTGTTTATGATTGTTTGTATTGGTCTGCGATTTCTAGATAACATATATATTTATAAAAAGTATCTAAGTATTTTTATCAGTGGTTTTGTTGTCCTAATAGAAACTTGGTTAGTTAGGGACTAGATGGCGCTGTATGAATTGTCTGTTATTATTATTAATAAACAAATTACCTATAATTTATATTTAATAATATTCATAACATTATTATACATTTCATATCTACATTAAAAAAACAACTATATTATAACTTGTTAACTTTCTCTATCTTCAAGTTCCTTCTCAATTTCTAATAATTTTCTTCTAAACGTGACATTGTTCCTAATTTCAAAGTATGTGACAACTGACGAAGATACGAGTTGCATAACAGTCAAAAAGGCCAGAGTACTGTGGAACCGTTTGGTGATTTTCTTCAAAAACTGGAAAAGTCCAGTTACACCATCTGTCAGATTCGGTACTCTGTATGTATTATATCTATGAGCAAACTGAAATAAAAAGAAAATTATTATTATTATTATCTTACTAATATTATAAAAGCGAAAGTTTGTTAGTATGGATGGATGTTTGTTACTCTTTCACTACTGAATGGATTTTGATAAAACTTTACAGTAATATAGCTTATACATCAAATTCAAATTCAAAATATCTTTATTCATGTAGGTCCAATACAGACTCTTGTGATATGTTAAATCTACCGTCAGTTCGGAATGATTTCGAGATGAGAAGAACTGACAACAAACTCAGCTCGTATTCTTTTCAAATAAATATCAACAAAAAAGCTAATCAGTGTTCGCAACCTGAACAAACCAGTCCCCACAAGCAGCACCCGTTCCGAGTATGACGGATGAGTCATCCATCATTGCACTCAACCATATTGGAGCGAGCATCAGAATAACATATAGGCTATAATAAAATATTTTTCTTTCTTTCTTTCTTCTTCTTTCTATAAATTTCACGCGGGTGAAACAGGGCACAGCTAGTATTACATAAAACTAATTACCATCAATGCTGATGTAGGACCAAGTATCATCGGATATGCCACCCCAAAGCCCAGTTGTATAGCAGCCGACTTGACCTCGTAGCACACCGGGCATGTGTCTTTTTTCATCAACAACATGTCCGACAGTATTATCTGCAATTAAATTAAATTCTTTTGAATGTGGATACAAATAATATTTGAATTAAATGTTAATTCAAATTTGATTTGTATTCTGATTTATAATTTTAATTAATTGTAACATTCAAACATCTTTGCAAAGTTTATAATGGTGTTACCTACTCACTACTAGCCACATTGTTGGGTTGACTGGTAGAGATCTCTCTTAGAGATAAGTCCACCTTTGCTCACTTTGTATATGTTTAAGTTTAGAACTGTATTTAAAAGTGCAATAAAGAATATATATAATGTTAGTAGAATTTACAATATCTGACTAATATACTTGTTGAATATCAAAAAACTTAACCATCATATGATTAGCATTTCCTGTGAAAAAATTATGCTTCTTTTCCCTGACCTGTGTTCTTATTTAGAAAGAAATACACAAGTAGAGTAGGTATGTTTATTTCTTTTTAAATCAAAGGGTTCCTTTTTATTATAATGCAATACTGATGATGTTTTTTTATTACACAAGCGTTTATCTTTTTGTCGATGGTGAGAAATTTGGGGGTGTTTGTGTAGTAAATAAATTTTTAGTTAGCCTAATTACCATATCTAAAAATATAAAATCATCAATATGATGGCAACAATAATAAGCAAGTATATGACTTAGATAATAAGTCTCTAACTAGAATATGGAAATCAAAAACAGTATCTACATCAATACATATAAATAAAATTGGATCTGTATGTAATATTGAAATAACCGCTATATATATATACTAACATTTATGCCATTTTTGTCTGTCAGTTTGTTCCGGCTACTTATTTTTGGCAGGTAGCTGATGTTAATAAGGAGTAACTTAGGCTATTTTTATTTTAGATAAAAACGAACGAAGTTGCAGTACAGCTAGATGTAAACTATTTAGTGCTATTTTTATCTCAAAAAGTAGATGATGCATACAGAAGCTCTTAACATTAGTCAAGAAATAGTCATATTTTTTTTAATTTATCACTTCTTTGGAAAGCAAATCACTACACACATTTAGTTTATAAATATGATTTATGGTATGTGTCATGTTTAAATGTATCCTCACCATTGCTTCTCAATACATTTATATCATCTATACCAGGAAAAATATAGACAGTTTCAAATTAGTGATTGCAGCAGTTTAGATGTAAACTATTTATGGAAATGCTATTTTTATCTCTGTTATAAATCTGCCAGAAAAAAGATTTAAATGTCATAAAACAGATGATGAATTCATAACAATAATAATGTTTTTATAGAAAAACTTTAAATCACTAATAATGAATGCATTTCTATGTTGATTATCGTCAAGTTAAAATTATTTATATAAAAAAACATTTTTTTTCGTTCTTCTTGTGATGAATTTATCATTCTTGAGTGGTAGAATCAAAATATGACTATTCAAAAGTGCTTGTAATGAGATTATTTGAATAAAGATACAGAAGAATGAGAGAGATACCTGCATGTTACTTCTTGAAATAAACATTCTGTTTACATATTTAAAATTGTGTGTAAATTCAAACTAGCAAATAGCAAAAATTATTTGCTAAGTAGAGGTAAACAAACTTATTAGCATTCCATTTCATTCACTAGCAAGTCAGGCCTATTTTGTGGCAGAGAGGAAACCAAGCAGTACCCGGGAAAGAATAAATATAGTTTGTAGTTCTTACATGTCTGTGAAACAATATAGTCATGAGTCCTGGCATCAGAGTGATGGGTATAACTGACGAGTAGAATCCATATGTACCAAGCTTCAATTTATTCCTGTAATGACTGTTTATAAGTATTCCGCTGAAAGCATTGAGTCCTCCGAGGAATGTCGGCCCGTAACGTAATGCCCACCTGCAAATTTGATCATAACAATAACTTTACACAAATCACTGCAGCAACAACAGTGCCATCTAGTCTTAAACTATGCAGAGCCTGTAGATACTAATCTACAGCTGATAGAAATAATTAAATACATTTCTTTTAATTTTACATATAATATGCCTAGATAGACAACACCCAGATGAATATAATAGAATAAATTTTCATACAAATACACTATATACAATACAAATAATTATACAAATGATTGTATCGTTGAACCCGCATCTATTGGAAGTAAGACTAAGTGCTAAACCGCTAGACCACTGAGCCCAATAACAAGTTAACAAACTTATATCACCTTAAAAATATACAGGCCTAAGGCATAACCTCAATTTTAATAATCTGTATTTTATATTCTTATTATTATATTAAACTTACACATCTGATATCGAGTCCCAATTACTTATAAGATCCCAAACATATGAAATTGCTTCCTCTTCGTTTAAAACAACAGCATCTTTCGGCACATCCTTAGATTTCATTAACGCCATGACTACCTAAAAATATATACTTCACCATAATATTTTTCGATATAACAGTTATGTGATACTTCATTTAACTAAATAATACAATATAATACATAAAGTTATTTTAATCTTTAAAAAATAAACATTAAATCATATTTTAAAATTCACCTCCAAAAGTTCCTTATTAGCTACTCAGTGCTGTCAGTCCCATACAGTCTGTCTGACTGACATTAGTAGACAATGACATTTTCCCATATTCGTCCATCTCCTTTTCAGTGATGAGACAGGCAAAGATCCTTAGACTTAATCATTCTCAGCAAAATTTATTTATTTTATTCGTTTTATTGTTATTTATCTATTTTATGCCAAAAAGTATTTACAATCACAATTTTAATAAAAAGAATCTTAACAAATTACGATATTGTAATTTTCTTTAGCTACACTGTCACCATTAAATCTTTTAAATGTCAACTGATATTTTGTTTGCAATATTTTTTCCAGAGGTGCTATCATCTATACATATAAGTAAAATTGGAGTGTCTGTTTGTAATATTGAAATAACTGTTTTTTACTACATGCATATATTTACATATAAATACGGTACATACACCAATGTCTGTTTGTTCCGGCTAATCTCTGAAATAGCTGGACCGACTTTGACGGGATTTATTTTGGCAGGTAGCTGATGTAATTAGGAGTAACTTAGGCTACTTTTATTTTAGGGGAATGAAGTTAAATTCCACGCCGACGAAGTCACGGGTACAGTTAGTCCTATATATAAATGCAGATATATTCTGATCCGACAAATTTTTTGGTATCGCCAAAAACATTGTGATTACTTACTCAGTGGTGTAGAATTCGATGTTAGGACTTTTAGGTGTAAGGGTACAGGATATAATATTTATTAGCCCAATGTACTATTAAAATAATCTCACATAGATTCAATTTAATTATTAATTAATATTATAAATTCGAAAGTTTATAAGTGTGGATAGATAGATAGATGGATGTTTGTTACTCTTTCACGCAAAGACTACAGAATATTCAAATTCAAATTAAAAAAAAAAAAATCATGTAGGACTTTTTAGCCGCTTATGAACGTCAAATTTTTACATTATAATTTTATTTTTTTCCCTACCGTCCAGTTCGGTATATAGATAGAATAGATTTTGAGGAAACTTTTCAGTAAAGCAACTATACATCCGAATGACACATAGGCTATAAATTGCATGTGGGTGAACTTAAAACATAAATAAATAAAATAACAATCATAAAATAAATTCGTTTATTTCATATTCGATTCACTCATTTGTGCGATCTGCTCTCTCTGTTCACACCGAAATCTGCTTTCGTATTCTCTCGATTTTAGAATAGTCAATTTACCATTGTGGTTTTCAAACGTATTCTATGATAATCCCACTTGTTCCTCGCTAGCGTATACCGTCAGCGCAGGTGCACCCGGCGCTAACAATATACGCTAGTGAGGCCATTACTCTACATTAAAAAAAATCGTATTTTCTACAGATAATGTCATCGTAATATAAGATTTCACATACAATTTTTTTTAAGATAAATATAGTCCGTAAATAAAAAGTTTAGGAAAGATCATTTAAATATGCAAACAGATTTTTTTTTCCATATTCGTCCTGCTCCTTTTCAATGATGGAACAGGCAAAGATCCTTAGACCGTACAGCCTAGTCTACGTTTAAACTTCTTCATATTTGTACAAGTGATGAGGCCAAAGGCCAATTCTTATGTATGTTTATTCATTATGCTTTCATTCGTGTTCTAAATTTAAATCTTATCCATAGTCCATATCATTGCGTAATTTCTTATTGAGTGACATTAAAAAATCATAGATACTTTATTTTTTATTTTAACAAATTTAAATGGCCAGAAAGGTACTATAACTTCACGTATCTATTTTAGATGGTACAAACTAATAAAAATAATGTTCCACATATATTTCTTAACATTAATATAACATAGCCAATTTAAATTAGCCATTAGCCCGAAGCGGCAATTTGCGTTTTTTTTTTATATTACGATGGTGGCAAACAAGCATATGACCCATCTGATGGTAAATGGCAATAGCAACACAAATTGTCATTTTGGTCTACACAATCTATAAGTACTAATAGTATTAATATACTTACTCGTAATAACACTTTTTCTGTGTTAACCTATAATAATATTAGAAATACGTAAAGTATAAGATTTTTTTATACTACGTAGGTGACAAACAAGTATAGGGCCCATCTGATGGTAAACGGTTACAGTAACTATGTAATATTATCCATTCTGTTAGCCTATGGACGCCTGAATTATTAGAGGTATCACGTCCGCGTTGCTGACCTTTAAGAAACCTTAATATACGGTAGTTTTTGACATATCATAAGAGTCTATAATAGACTTATATGAATAAAGATATTAGATTAGATTGATACCCATAATAAAAAACCTCATGCAGTAGTTTCATGAGAAAATCTCAGAACAAATGTTGGGGGTAATCTGAACAAATTTAGTGTCAAATAGGGTATTTATCGATAAATCTTATAAGCTATATAACATCACGCTATGACTTATAGTAACCGAAATGCTATGAAAACTTTTTCGTAAAACGGGGAAAATGTGATACAGACAAAATTGACAGCTAGTTGCTAACACACATATTGTTATTAAAAAGATTAATGATTAGATATTATTTTGTAATTAATACAATACGACAAAAATACAAAATAGTTGACTTGCATTAGCAACTAAAACTTTCTACATGAATGAATATTTTTAGAAGTTACTCTATATGCTTATATAAGTTTTAATATTAAAAAAATGTTTTCGTTCTACTTAATTTTTAAAATTCTCTACATAGTTAGGTATATTATCAGCGAATATCAGACATCTCCTCGGGATACAATTAGTTAATTATATTCTACTTATATATTATAAAACGTAGGATTTAAATACGATATTTTTTGTTTATATACATATATAAGGTAAAAAATATATTGTATTTAAATGTCTACTCTACAAGATATGCACAGCCAACATTCTCTCTTCTAGTAGTCTAAATTACATATATTATTTAATTATATAACAGATTACTAATAATTCTCATTAGAACCAGATTAATGTTTGTCACAATTTTGTGACTATGCTACGTCACAAACTATACATCGTCACAAAATGTTAACATTAAGGACTATTTTGTAACTACTATCATCATATCATTTGACAGTTGCAATTGCTAACTACAATAGCAAATTTTCGTTTTAATGTTACAATATTGTGACTATTTCACGTACATAGTCACAAAATGCTAACATTAACGACTATTTTCTAACTACTACCATCATATCATATGACAGTTGCAATTGCTAACCGTAATAGCAAAATTTCGTTTTAATGTTACAATATTGTGACTGTGTTACGTACGTACACGGTCACAAAATTTTAACATTAATTACTCTGTGACTACTACCACTATATCATTTGACAGTTGCAATTGCAAACCGTAATGTCAAAATTTCGATTGAAACTATTGCCATTCCACTCGTGTAAGTGGAAATGAAAGAAGAACAGAGATAGAACGAGTACTGAAGAACCTACATTGTAAGTTTATTGCGGACACACTACTCTGAATACATTACAATTTAGAAATGTTAATAACATTATAAACGCGTAAGTTTGTGAGTACCTACTCACAAACTAATAGATGTTTGTTACTCTTTTACGCAAAAATTACTGAACGAATTTTGATGATACTTTACAGTAATATAGCTTATGCATCAGAATAACACATAGGCTATATTTTTTATTGAACGCTCACAGCTAGTCATTATATAATTAGACCCCTGTTACAATTGAGAATTGTTAGTAATAAACAGCGTTATATAATTAAAACTAAGTTTGTTTTCTTACAATAAACAAATTATCACAAAATGTTATCTTATACATACATATATTAATATAAAAATATTCTTATATATTGTATAAAAAATAGCTTTTCATTCTAATATAGTACATTTTATTAAAATTTTACCAATATTAGTTATACATATGTTGTTACTAACATATAGACCAGTATGTAGTCGTGATTAAAAAGTATTGTTATATGTATTTATTAATAGTTATTAATAAATATAATAATATTTTTTATTCAATCACTGAGGCCGATTATAATCAGCCTATTAGATCCTACATAAATCGAATAAAGCACCAGGTTTAGCACATAGCCTTACTTCCTAGGTTAAGTTAAATACCTAAGTTAGGGAATTATAATAAATTACATTTATTTAAATTCAATATAAGGTAACCAATTTCCACCCAGTCTAATTCTTTCAAACGATAATTAAGACAGTTGTTTTATAAAGATTAGTGAATATGTAATTAGAAAAAATAATGTTCTTTTTTCTAATTACATACATAACCAATACAAGCAATCAAACATACTTGAATACAAATGTTTGTACTGTGCGAGGAATCGAACCCATAAACGTCGGAAGTAAGGCGGTGTACTAAACCACAAGACCACCAAAGCCATCGACATATATGTATATTACCATTATTTAAAAAATCATTTTTATCTGTAACATTTATTTTATCATAAGACATTTGGACAAAACAACGCATGAAGTGGACGCATGAATTTTGTACAAAGTATAATTTAAAAAAATGTTGAAAATGGAATATTACTTAGGAGTAAAGGCACTATTCAATTATATGAATGAGAAAAATATAATAATTATTAAATACTTTTTTCAAGAATAGAGTATTTAGTCGGGATTCATAAATACGCGGCATTGTTTATGATTTTGATTGATTCTCAAAATGATTTGGGCGCGAATATGTGCATACTGAAGATTATAGATGTTTTAGTTATATTTTGTTATAACACAGTGGACAAACGAGCTTGCGGCTCACCTGATGGTAAGTGATTACTGCCGCCCATGAGCACCCGCAACACCAGAGGAATTGCAAGTACGTTTTCGGCCTTTTAAAAAGGAATAAACTCTTTTCTTAAAGGTTTCAATATCGTATCGGTTCGGAAATACCACTGCTGGAAGGTGATTCCACAATGTGTTATATTATTTTATTTTATTTAGTTACGATGAGCATTTGTGAGATCACAAATATAGTGCGTAAACCTGACCACCGCTACTGGAAGTGTTATCTTCTCCATTGCTGATCAAATGAGATGAGTCTACACCCATAATGCGACACGTGCGCGAATTTGCAGGCAGTTCAGACCATGTGATCTCACCAAAGAGTAAAGTAAATATACCAAAAGGGTCTCACACATATTAATGGTAGTGGAATTTAAAAAAAATATATAAATCCATTAAGTAGTGAAATAGACTTCCGCAAAATGACACCTAATTTGATAAAATATATATTTTAACTAGTTTATACTTTTGAATATTGTATCATCATTATGTATTGTTACCATCACTACCTACTTTAATTTTGTTGTTATGCAGTTCATCGTCTTAATTTTTTTATTAATCTATTATACAACTATGTTATTTAATATAAATTGACTACAAATAATTAAAAACTTTATATTAGAAAGATTTAAGAGTAATGTTTCTCTTCTTTTATTATTTAATTATTCAGAGCATCAACCAACATGGCTGCTATAATATAATTGCAGAAATGGTCGTTATTACATTCATCAAAACTTATAAATACGTTAACAGAAGTAGAAAAAAATACCTAATGATTGTCATACATCTTAATATATAACGGCGTAATACATCGCCCTTTGCCTGCCTATTGAGAAAGAGAAAAAATATATAACAATTATAATTCTCTAAAAATATTATCTCATGAAATATACTTATCACAGATCACAGTACGTAATCACGTTGTCACTTCACAGCTTTGTCACAAAGATTTCTTGTAAAAATTGTAAATTTGGCAATTGCCGTTTGCCCCATTTGTCTGCTATGAGACGAGCGCAGAAGTCAGGCGCGAGGCAAGCCGCCACCACCAGCATGTTCAGTAACCAGAAAGTCAGCGAGGATAATAATCTTGTGTACGTTCCCAGTGGATCCGCGTCTGATGGTCTGGAAATAAAAATAAATAAAACTAAATTACATCGAAGATAATCAACTTGTTGGGAAATAACTTTTATTGCAAAAAATCTTTTACAAAACTGAAGAATTTATGAAACATATTCTTCCACGCGCAATTGTGAGTTCTTCGCGCGTTCTATTGCGCTGATTTTCCCGTAACTATTTTTTGTATTCATCTTTCTTAATTTTTTTTAATTTAGTTAGTTATTGCACATTTTTAATTTTCCAAAGACACGTTTAAAGTTTATAAAATATTAATAACGCTCTAATTTTGTCTTTGCTCCATAGTGTAATGTCGGCCATTTTGCAATGATAATTAATTGTTACAAAATGGCGCTAAAAGACGTACTCTTGAAAAACGTGGGAATGCGTGCTCTTGCTCGTTCTCTTTGTCTACATTTACATGCTCCTTCTATCCTGCTCATTCTTCTTATGATAAGTTTGCTTTTTTTTAGTCTTTCTTCTTTTTAGCGGTAGACTAAAAAAATATTACAATTCTAACGTGCTTACAGTAAGTTTATTTGCTTAAACATTATTTCTATTTCTACTATACTAACTTTTCTTACAGTTTATTAATTACATTCCGGGGCGTTCTATATTATTAAATATATAGAAATTCCATATGATTATCATTTTCCATTAAATGGCTAGTCAGCTAGTAGTAATTTAAATCTTAATAATATTATAATCGCGAAAGTTTGTAAGTATGGATGTTTGTTACTGTAAAAACTACTGAACTTTGATGCAACTTTACAGTAATATAGCTTATGCATCAGAATTTTTTATTGAAATTTAATGCGGATAAAACCGCGGGCACAGTTAGTTTAATATTAAGTTAGTACTTACATGCGCGGTACTGTTGCATATACAATGTCGAATGCTGCATACACGACTATAGAGAGCAATGTGGTGGCAATGAAGAAGGCGGTGTGGTAGCGAGCCTGAAGCCACAGTTTCAGGCTTACCACCACAATGGTCAGGTGGAACAGTGCTGCGCCGTATGACCTGCAACCACACTCAATTACATACCACATTGCAGTTTCACCACACGTAGGTTGTAAAAATTACTTTGTATCTTTAGAAAAAGTCAATGGGGTTTTTATAGAAATATGTATTCAATTTTACAATAAGACACAAAAGGAAAAACTGGAATTACCTTTGCAGTACACCACAAGTAGACTGTAAACATTAGTTTGTATGTATCGTCTAGAGAAAGTGGGGTCTTTTATGGGAATAGATATACAATTTTACAAAAAGATACCAAAGGTTATACTGGATAAATTCATAATATCTGTTAAATCATATTTATTGAGTAAAGCCTATTATTCACTAAATGAATTCTTAATGACAAATGTGCGTGACAATGTTTTCATTTAATTTTAGACATAGACACCTATATAAATACAAAGTGTAAATGAAAAAAAAAGAAACTCATTTGAGTTTAATGCCAGTTCTTCTCAATTGACTCTGTATACTGAACTGTTCACTAAATTTCACAATTTTGAGGTTAAAATGCCGCTAAAGTAGGGAGTCGGCTCTGTTAACTTTATAGGCTCGCTATTTGACGTTTTAACTTTATCGGACCGCTATAGAGTGTTTATGAATAACGTTTTTCATTATCAGAGGTATATCATAGGTTTATAGAGGGTTTATAGAACTGATTGCTAATGAACAGTTATAAGAGCTTTATAGAGCGTATATAAATAGAGATTTTTATAAAGCCTTTATAGCACTGTTATAGTGGGCTTATAAAGGCTTCTTAAGTTTTATGAATAACACCGTAATTCATTATCATCTATAAATATCTGTGGGGGGATGGAGGGTACACAAACAAATGAAGAATAAAAAAAAAATACTTACGTTAAATCTATGGTTTTTGCATCAGCACTGATGACCGAACCAATGAACACTAGCCACGTGAACGTGTATATAATTACTGAGTGATAACACGCGGCTACGACCCACGAGAAGAAATTGGTCCACGTCATCAGACTGTTCCTACTGATCTCTCTGTATAATGTCGGATTCCTGCAACATTAGTATTATTTTCAACACACTTGCTCGTAATCAATCGATAAAATCGATCGAAAACCAGTGAAATTAGATCCACTGATCTAATTTCATCGGTTTTCGATATATACACATAAAGCGGTTCATTAAACACGGGTGCGTTATAAATGCAAATAGTGAAGTTATATTCCATAACCAATCGCACTATTTTTTTTTTTTATCAAATTTCGAAACAGCCAATAGGCAGCGCACTCATTTAAAAAAAGTGAAACGGCGGGAAGTTTAAAGCCGGAACGCGGAAAACTTGAACGCGGAAATTGAAAAACATCGTACGATATACGTGCGTATTTAACACACTCGGTTGTATTACGCCCTTGCCTTCGGCTTGGTCTGAAATTCCGCTTCGTGTGTTATAACCACCATAACACACTTATATTGTAATATACTATTTTATTGGTTGCCATTGATGACTCCAGGTAAACTAGTGCAGTACTAAATTAATATTAGCACTCACTACAGATAATATAATATTACATAATAGTAGCTATTGGCCGTCCAATGGTCGAAATTTGACCATAATAAATTTAAGTACACAATTTATAAATTTAAATTAATTAATAAGTTCCACTGTAAAATCAGCGTTTGGGCATTGCAACCTAGACACAAAGCTGAGTGAAAACTCATTTGGTCGCAGCTGTATTATTTAAATTCATAAACATATAACATCATAAACTTATAATTCTCTCTATTATGAATTAGAAGTTTATGTAATATTATGTATGTTATTTACTTGTTATATGTTTTGATATGAATGTTTTGTATACGCCAAATAATTATATATTTTTTCTTGCTATTCTATTCTACAAATTGAAGTACGTACTCTAGTAGTAAAGCTGCAGGCCACCTCTGTTCCGTGACCGAGAGAATTAGGCACGGGACCGATGTGAAAAACAAATTATAAAGCGTCAGGTACATAGAGTTGTATATCGATTGCGTTGAGAACATACTGTATATTTGAAAAAATACCTGTGGACAAAGAATTATGTGTTTATTTATTCATTAATTTCACTAGTAACTAGTAGGGATTTGTCTGTTCCAGCTCGCTGCTCTCGCTGCTGAGTTTTCGACGCTTCGTCTGCTTCAGCTATATAAAAAAATTTTTGGAGGTCATTGAATCCATATCTCGCATCCATTTTGCTGTATCTCTTCCCGTTTCATAGATAGCCCCAACGCTACGTTGTCTCTACGCTCACTTCAATGTGCCATTATACCTTATCATTAATCACTTACTATGACTCACAATGTGCGCCCTCATTATCAACTCAAACTCAGGATTGGGTCCATAAATTACACCACTTATTATTTTCAATTCTTTTATTGTTATAATTATATCAAAAACAAACGAACATACCACACGAAAGTGAATCACTAGTTATCATTACACAGTGGGTTGTCGCTGAATGTATTAATGAATTCTGACATGACATCTGAGTACGTAGCGTTGGGGTGACATTTGCAACGGGAAGAGATGCAGCAAAATGGATGCGACAGATGGTTTCAGCGACCCCCAAAATTTTTATTTTAAGCTGAAGGAGGACGAGTCGAAAAGCCAGCAGCGAGAACAGCGAGCTGGAGCAGACTAATCCTTACTACTGGGAGCGTTATTGTTACTTGTTTACTACACTTATGCCTGTTTTCTCCAATGACCATCTAAATTTAGGGGTCACTTAACGTTAGTTTAGGGTCTTTAGGTAACACCTAACATTCTAGTAGACCTCGATTCATCTAGTAGACCCCAACTGTTTCTTGTTAAGAGTTGTCACCCTGTTTACTCTCTTACTATAGGGGTAATGGACATGAAACTAATCGAGTGGTTGTTTTAGGAGAAGAAATACAAGGTAAAATTACTTCATTGGAGGTTGGTGAAGGTTTCATATGCTTAACCGCGCAGACTTTATAATTTAGGTTTTTAGAGGGGGCGCTCTCAACATTAAAACCAACCATGCAACAATGACAAACAATTGTACAGAAGCAAAACATACAGAGTACACTGAGCTGTTTCTTATAACAGACATAAATACGATTACTGTGACCCTAATGGGTAAACTAACTACGTAAAATTATGGTAGGGAGGGATGGTAGGGAAAAATGGCAATAGGAAAAACTAAATCAAATGGAAATAGAAATAGAAATAATCTTTATTCAAATAAACTCATTACAAGCACAATAGTCATATTTTGATTCTATCACTCATTCGGAATGCAGATTCATCACAAGAAGAATGAGCAAGAAACCTATGTGTTGCTCTTTTGAATAGTTTCTTTTTTTAATAATAATTACAGTATAACAAGTAAGAGGCATACGATAATCAACATAGAAATCGTTACGCACTCATTATTAATGTAATCACATAATATTGTCAGTGCTATGGATTTTAAATTTTTCTATAAAAACATTATTGTCATTAACGATTTCTTCAATTTTATAGTAAGCTTTTTTGTAAAGACATTTAAATCTTTTTTCTGGCAGATTTATAACAGACTCTGGTATTTTGTTGTAAAACCTTACGCAATTGCTATAAAACGAATTACTAACTTTAGTTAAACGACATTTAGGTAAAATCAGTTTGTTATTGTTGCGTAAGCTTTTATTAGTGAAGTCACTAACTCTTTTGAAATTGTCTATATTAAATAATTGTATATAAATGGAAATTTAAAAAAGTATATTTCCACGCGGAGAACCAATACGGCTACTAATGCACGTACAGTGGAAATGGCTGGAGTCGAAAATGATTATTAAATATGTATGGGAACGAAGGCTGACTTTTGGCTAGGCATGGACGGAACCCACTAGTACTTCTGGGTTTCTGATGTCTCGTCTGACCGTCCAAGGCCTTGCAGCACTTCGTCACTGCCAAGTCTCCGTTCTATCACAGGGAAGTGGACTGTTTTCCTCAAACCAAAATGATAAGGGTAGTAAGTAAGACGACTAGTATGTCACACATAAAAAAGGCCCAGCGTGGGTATTTTTTTATTATTTGAGGGTTTGGGCTGTTGTCAGGTGCTAAGACTGGTGACACTGCGACCTGCATCTATTGTACTGACCCTTTTTCAAAGTTCGCTACCTAGACCCGTCAGGGACAAGAATAAAGGATATTCTTGGAAGCGATGGTTTTTATCTCTTTAGGATAGAGTATACTTTCCAAAGAAGAAATTTTATTTATACATGAATTGGCTGCAACCATATATGGGATGTGTAGTGGCATTTCCTATTCTGCTTGGCAAAATCTGCAGATTATTGTAAAGCTAAGGCCTGATTTCGCCATATGTTTACTTATTTGCAGTGTCCAGTGAGGGCCCTAGTCATAATGCATGCGTAGGTATATATAAAAGGGCCCTCCCTCGCCTCAAAGACGTGGTCAAATTAAAAAATAATTTATTCATGTAGGACATTTTAGCCGCTCATGAACGTACATTTTTTTATATTATATTTTTGTTGCTACCGTCCAGTATATAAATCCAATTGAGAGGAACAGGTTAGAAACTCAATTGAATTACTTTTTCTTTTTAAATGACTGTTTATTGACAATGAATATTTATATAGGTTTCTATGTCTAACATTAAATGAAAAGTCCGTGCATGAACAAGTGGCAATAGTTCTTCATGCACGGGCTTTTCACTCACTATCATCATTCATATAATATGGAATGATGAGCGATTTAACAGATGTTTAACAGGTCTTAGCGGCTGATGAGAGCGGGGTGTAAGTATATAAGATGTGTAAGATAAAAAGATTAGGTTTCTATGTCTAACATTAAATGAAAAGTCCGTGCATGAACGACATGCAGTAGTTGTTCAATATTACATTTACGTAATATGGAACATTTACATAACAAACGTTGATATAAGATGTAACTATAAAGACAAAGAACGATAACTATAGACAACTGACATAAAACGATAACCACATGTCCGTCCACAGCGACACATCCAAGCAACATCAACTCACCATAATATTGCCGAAAACTAAATTCTTATAATTAAAAAAATGTATTAGAGTCGCTAATCTTTGATAGTACCAGTGACCAAGTACTAAGAGTATTTTCTTCACCATTGAGAACTTTGTGAACGCGAAATCGGCGCATCTGAAAATTTTGTTCACTTCTATTATGAACTAGTCGTGACTAGCTTTTACTATATTAAGAACTAGCGACCCGTCCTGACTTGCTTCGGATTTCTCGACTTACTCTATATTATAACACGCATATATTGTACATACGAACCTTCTTCTTGAATCACTCTATCTATTGCTGAAAACTGCATTAAAATCCGTTGCATAATTTAAAAGATATAAGTGCACAGACAGCGGCTGCGACATTAGATAAAGAATAATATCCCTGAACAATTTACACAGCGCCATCTAATCCCAAGCTATGCAAAGCTTGTGTTATGGGTACTAGACAACTGATATAAATACTTAGATCTTTTTTTAAATACATATATAATATATATAGAAAACAGCCAGACTGATACAAACAATCATATTCATGAATACAAATGTTTGTAGCGTGCGAGGAATCGAATCCGCGTCCATTAGAATTAAAGCAGTGTTCTAAACCGCTAGACCACCAAGGCTTTTTATGTAATACGCGACAGTTACAATTTCCATTAAGTAGGCCGTGACCATTGCTAACCGAGATAATATTTATTATATTAGACACGCACAACTCGTCCGCTCCGTTCGCCGGCTGCTTGTATAATGCCTTTTTTGTCCGAGTCACTGCTCAATGGCCGCCATCTTGTGCCCCCCTACTCTCGAAAAATCAGAAGTGATACCAATTGTGAGCTCACCTGGCAGCTTGGTGTCCTTCCTTCCCGAATATACCAAAGCCAACGTGCGCCTCCTGAATCATAGATATGTCGTTCGCGCCATCTCCAATAGCGGCCGTGATTGGCCGCGAAGGACTGTGTTTTATTAATTTTACTATCTGTGGACAACATTATGAAAGTACAGTGAAACATATTATTTATTCTAAGACCTAATCTGTACTTCACATTCAAGAATTAAAATTTGAATTTAAATAATCTACTATTTATTTTTAATTTCTTAATTCTAACCTATTAATCAAATTAGCAAACGTGTGACGATGCTCCACAATGGTGGATACGCATTTTTTTTGCTTTGTTATTATTGAATATGGGTTTAAATTTATCTCATTTTGTTTGATTTTCTTGTTCGCTTTTTTCTTTATGTAATGATTTGTATTGTGCTATTTCTATTTATGTTATAATAATTTATATGCTGCTGTGAGCATCATCATTATTGTGATGTGATGTGTGTTTGTAATTAATATTATTCTATACTATTAAAATTAATAAATTATGTTTCTCTCTTAAGACTAGCGAGATCCATAGCACAATCTCAATATTGAAAGGCGATCATAATATAAAGCACTATAAAAAAAATCTTTCTATGATATTAAAAATGTACAAATTGTTTAATTTGTCTAAAGTAATTTCATTCATAATGTTCAGTAGTCATTATCATTATTGTAGATAATATTAGCGTAACTTTGTGTAGAAATTGTATGGTAAAGACTATTAATATCACACAATAAAAAAAATCGTACATAATCCATTTATTTATGATGGAGTTTACAAGTAGACTAAGCTGTACGGTATAAGGATCTTTGCCTGTTCCATCATTGAAAAGGAGATGGACGAATATGGAAAAAAAAATATGATGGCGTGAGATGTGAGATGTATTTCACATTTGTAAGAAAAACAAAACAACATCACTGCTCTATGTTTGATTCCATATTCAAATTTTATAATTTTATTTTTAATAAACCTAATGGCCTTACTCGGTAACAAAATGTATAATTTTGTTTTAGCATCAAAAATAAATTAAATATTTAAGTTGCCTGCAAATAGATACAACGAGTAATATCGGCTGTATTATATAGTATTTCATGTAGCTAACGCAGCGGGATAAAGTTATATAAAAGATATATATAAACATAGTTTACCTCAGCCTTTTGTATAGGGGACAATCTACAACAAAGCACAGCATCGCACTTCACAGATATATCAGCGAAGATGGGAGCTGATGGCGTACCGAGTATGACGCTCATGCTCGTGCCGTCCACCACTAGCGTCAAGTCCTTATAGGTTTGTTCTTTTGTGATGCGTTTACATTGATCGAGTTGATCATGGAGGGATTCTGCTGTGACGCCGATGAGGAACATTCTTCTGTCATTTTCGGATATATGCCCGCAGGATTGGGCAACATTTATGGCTGTTTCCACCTGGTGAAAATGTAAAATAAAATCAAAAGTAATTTTTTAATGTAGGACATTTTAGCCGCTTATGAACGAAATGCTTTTTGTATTAATATTTTTCCCTACCGTCCAGTTCAGTATACAGATTCGATTAAGAAGAACTGGCAAGAAACTCAATTGATTTTTTTTTCAAAACCCAGTTTGTTTATATACACACTTATATAGGTATCTAACATTAAATTAAAGTAAACAAATGGGTATGTAATGGGTGAGCTGCGATTACTAGTACTACTAAAAAAGTAATATTAAAGTTACTTACCTTATCACCTGTGAGGACCCAGGTCTTGATGCCGGCTCTCTTGAGAGCGGCCAGCGTGTCGGCCACGTCGTCCTGCAGACAATCCTCGACGGCGGTGGCGCCTACCAGCGTCAGTTCCGCTTCAAACTTACTGAACCTTTTGGTTACTTGTTCCAGGTGACTAGCGCTCGACGATATATTTTGTCCCGCTGTCAAATGTTTATTTTTTAGTTCTATTGTATACTACCGGCCATTTCGGCCGCTTGATTTTGTGTATTTTTTTTAATAAAGTAAATAAATTTTCAAAAGTAAATGTTGCCTAAGTTACTCCTTATAACGTTATCTGCGTTTGAAAGTCCTGACAAAATTGGTTCAACCGTTTCGGATTAGCAAAAATAAACAAACAGAGAGACAGAAAATTAAAACATATATAAATGTAATTTAATAATGAGTGAATAAATACGGCTACGAGCAAAACAGTTGTCAGGTTACTTTCAATGTTCGCGGGTTTGATTCCTAGCACAATACAAACATTTGTATTCATAAGTATGATAGTTTGTATCGGTCTAGATGTTTTCGATATATTATGTATGTATTTGTAATAATAATATTTAAGTATTTATATTAGTTGTCTAGTACCCATAACACAACCTCTGTTTAGCTTGAGACTAGATGGCGCTTAATTGTACTGGCTTATTATTATCACTCAACTATTCAAACTAACAAACTCTTCAGCTTAACATTATTATCTATACATCTATACATATAAATAAAATTGGAGTGTCTGTTTGTAATATTGAAATAACCGTTTTTTACAACAAGCATATGAATATAAATATGGCACATACACCAAAATAATATTTTTTACAATTTTTGTCTGTCTGTCTGTCTGTCTATTTGTTCTAGCTAATCTCAGAAATGGCTGGACTGATTTTGACGGGACTTTTATTGGCAGGTAGCTTATATAATAAGGAGTAACTTAGGCTACTTATATTTTAGAAAAATGAAGTTAAATTCCACGCCTACTAAGTCGCGGTACAGCTAATGCATAATAAAAAGGTATAACTTACATTCAGCAACCTCAGCATATTCCTCGGGCGATATTTTCCTGTACGCGACAGCCAATGTTCTAAGACCTCTGTTTGCGAATGAATCTATATCTTTATTTACGTCTTCGATTATGACAGAGTCTTTGCACAGTGGCAGGATTGCACTTTCGGCACCCTTGCAATACAACCATATCTGTAACACGATTATTTGTATTATCCTATATATAAAATTCTCGTGTCACAGTTTTCGTTCCCATACTCCTCCGAAACGGCTTGACCGATTCTCATGAAATTTTGTGAGCGTATTGAGTAGGTCTGAGAATCGGCCAACATCTATTTTTAATCCCCCTAAATGTTAGGGGTAGTCCACCCATATTTTTTTTTTATTTTAAGGCAAAACAACGTTTTGCCGGGACAGCTAGTTATTATATAAATGCCAATTTGATATTATAAATTACTACGTTATACGTTATCATCATCTGCTTCTTCCTTATCCCATCCCATTCATTTGGGATTGTTTTCTTCTATTCATCTTTATTTATTTATTTATTCTTTATCGTACACAAAAAAATTACAAATATATAATTTATATTCATTCATTCATAATTTAAGAGCTACGCTCTTGTCGATGGAGCTCTTGCCACTTTCCGCGATCTTCCATCCATAATTTATATTAAGTAATAATAAATATATATGTACAACAGGCGAGCTTAACTCTATAAGAGTTCTGTTCTAGCAAACCCTGAATGGAATGGAGCATTAATTACCAGCGGGCAGTGTGTGTACAATACAATGATGTACGTACAATGATGATGATGATGATGAGTGTGTGTACAATAGTAGGAGGAAATAGTATAGTTGTTTCTATTAAGAAATAATGAATATGTTGACATATATACAAAGTAACTCATATAATTAAAATCAAAATACATACATATCTGTATATAACAATACATATGTATACATCTGTATATAATAATACATATGATAGATATGCATGTATTTTGATTTTAATTATATGAGTTACTTTGTATATATGACATACATCTTATTATTTTTTTCTATTCATCTTGCCGTGTAATCTTTAACACAGTCCATCCATCTCTTTTTCGGCTTACCTCTGCCCTCATACCCATCCACATTCATATAACACCTTCTTTAAAATTAGGTGAAGAATCTTCTATCTATATTCCTTTTAAAATACGCATCAACATTAACTGATTATTATAATTTAGTAATGATTTTTTTATATAGTTAATGTGAACACAAGTCTCCCTTGATCAATGAACGTCACATAATGTTATACACTGCGGCCACGTCATAAGACATGACAAGTATAGGATATACTCCAACTAATCCACCAAGGGAAAGTTTCTTGAAAAAAAATCTCCGCCAGTAGGTAGACGACAACTTTGGCCGAAGAACTTGCGAGAATGGTTTCGCTGCAGCAAAACGCTATTCAAAACAGCTTCAGAAATTAAAATTACCATAACGTTGCCCAACCTTCGGTAAGTGTGGAACGCAAAAAAGAAGAAAATCTAAAATATAAACACTTACATTTCCGTCTTTGTCTCTGACTATAATAGACATCCTCCTTCGTTCCGAAGTGAACTCTATTATTTGTAACTTCTCGTACATTTCTATATCTGTACCAATCTTTACCAACAAGTCGTTTCCGTGTTCACCCCAAAATGACACTCCGAACCTACTTGCTGCTTCAACTAAAGCCTTCTCATCAGGACTGCTACCTTGATATTCAAATTTATTATTCTCATTTAATTCTTCACTTTCAATATTATTAATTTCTACACTCTCTTGTATGTGGATTCCGTTTTTATTGGTCTTTTTCTTGCCTCCAAAGAACTTTACCTTCGGTTGGTTCTTGGCTGTAACGGTATCGGTAAATTGAGCCATGTTTTCGTTAGATATTTGCACGCAATGACAGAGAGCGAGTATCGTTAAGAAGAATTTGATGTCTGTCTGAAAATATGAAGTAGATATGAATTTCCTTACTAACATTATATCTATAAAACATATCTTAGATATAATAATAATATCTCAGAATAAATCACACAGCCCCATCTAGTCCCAAGCCAAGCAGAGCGTTGTGTTATGATTTAGTGGTTTAGGACGCCACTTTACTTCCAATGGGTTTTATTGGAAATAAAGTTCTAAAAGCGTCCTAAACGGTGCCAACATTTGTATTCATGAGTATGAAAGTTTGTACCAGCTTGGATGTTTACCTTGTATATATTTTGTTTTTAAAGGATGATAATGGAATGGTGCACCCGCTTGCGCTAACGGTTTACGCTGGCGGGGCACCAGTGGAGGATGATAAGATGAACATGAAGTCAGATCAGTTAGCCCAACGTGACAAATTCGCCGGGAATGTATCACAATGGTTTCAAGGGGGAACCGCGTGGAGGTCGATCTGACATGGTGCATTTTTAGCAATGGGATCATTAGTTACTAACAATCCACTTCCATCTACCTTGTATTAGGTTTGTCTTTGCAAAGAATATATCATAATACAATTAAAGAATTATATCATAATACAAGCTCTACTTAGCTTGGAACTGGAGGACGTTATTATTATTATTCAATATCACTAAATTTTTTACAACTGTAAATAAGATATCCAGTACATAAGCCATTAAAAGCTTTGTTGTTATAAAAATGCAAATAATTGCACATTACTCCGAATTGTGACTTATGTCCACAGATAAGATAACTGACAATACCAATGTAAATAACAAATATACAGAGATCTACAATTATTCATCAATATTATCTGTTGTACGACTATAATGCAAGCAATTCACTAAATATGTACCTATATAATGTTACAACATAAACACATTATGGTCTTGCTGAACCTGAATTCGAAATTAGTGGTAGAATAAAAAAAGAATAGTCATAACTACCTATTTAGTTTATTTGAATAGAGATTAGTTATATTTCTATTGTTATTATGATTTTATTTCTTAAAAATACTTCTTCTATATTAATATTATAAAGAGGAACGAGTTCATTTGAGTTTGCTCAGATTGAGTTTGATGGACATAGGCGAGAATAATTATCATATGAGAGAATATTTTTAAAAACGTTAGAAGATCTTTAACATTTTTGTAAATATTCTCTCTTAATATGTAAACTTTTATAATGCAACCCAACTTATGAAAAAAATACCAAAGAAAAATGTTCTTATATCTCGTAAGCTGCGGAAATTATTACATATCGAAGCCACACTGTCACTTTGCCCCTATAATAGTCTCTTAAACACTTCACTTCATCACAGTAATAGGTTTTGGGACTTCCACTCGCACATAGCTAATGTTGTAAAAAGTAATTTAGGTTATTTTTATTATTGAAATTTCATTTTTAATTCCACGCGGTCGATGTCGCAGTTAACAGCTAGTTTGCGTATAAATTTCAAACTTTAATGTGTATTAGATTGTAATATTAAGTTATCTGTGGTCGAGATAATGTAATCAATATAAATGATCATACAAGATTTTCCTTAATGACAATCTTTTGGACAACAAATAGATATGTTTAATGCAATATTTGGATTATCTATTGTTTTAAGCTTAACAAATTAATTATGCAGTTTTTCCTTATATGTATAGTACAAATATAAGTGCTACATCGTCGCTATAATCTGATATGTCTATATACATCAGTTGTCTAGTACTCATAACACAAGCTCTACTTAGCTTAGGTCTAGCGCAATCTAGAGGCTCCTACTCACTAAAAACTCCAAAGAGGATTTTCTCCAAGTAAAAAAAAGGCTACGTTGTGTGAATTATGTAAGAGTGTAATTTATATTAATTCGCTTTTTTTATAACATATGAGGCAAAGGGGCTTGAGGAATGGATGGTACGATATTACCGCCGCACATGAACACCCACAACATCAGGGGACTTGCAATTGAGTTAACAAATTTTACAGATTTGCATAGAGGAAGGAATTAGAAATGGTAACTCCTATTTCTAATTCCTTCCCGAGAATGGGTGGATGGTATGTTTGAAAGGTAAATTATTTCAGTGTGTTACACTAATCTGTATATAGGTATATTTCCGCCTTTTTGCGTATGGGCTATGTACACACACCGTTTTTTTTTGTAACTGTATTGTATTGTATTTTGTTGACAGACCAATGTAATAGTGTAACTTTTTTTTGTCGTTAACATTACAGTGCCTTGTGTGTTTGGCTTTAACGTAAATAAAAAAATAATCAATCTATTTGTAAGCAACACATTATCGTAATATCACGATAAGCATGCAATATAAAAAAAAACTGAATGTAATGTTACGGGAAATTTGATAAGGTGATAACACCAAATATTCATACCATAGAGTACATCATACGATCAGGAGCTGGCCAATTACGGTTTCTCATTTATTCAATTATTATCTGTACTTACGTCAACATGATGCAATAATCTAATACTAATAAAATCGGTAACAATATTCAGCCAAACCACTGTCTGAAGATAGAAGCCATGAGACCATGTGTATTGTATATTTGTTATAGTTTAATATTATATTTAACTAGCTTTTGCCCGCGGCTTCGCTGTCGTTAATTTATGTGGAATTTATCAAAATCCTTTCTTAGGGGATGCCTACGTCATAGTAGCTTTATGCATACAAAGTCTCAGCCCGATCGGCTTAAAATTGACAAAGTTTCATACAAAGTTTCATCCCCTATTTTATCCCCTTGGGGGTAGAATTAATCAAAATCCTTTCTTAGCGGATGCCTACGTCATAACATCTACTTGCATGCCAAATTTCAGCCCGATCCGTCCAGTGGTTTGGGGCTGTGCGTTGATAGATCACTACGTCAGTCAGTCACCTTTGAGTTATATATATATATAGACTAGCTGTACTCGCGACTTCGTCCGCGTGGAATTTTACTTTATTTTTGTAAAATAAAATCATTTTTCTAAAATAAATTATTATTATTAATTATTACGGAACAGCTAGTTATTAATATTATTTAAATATTTATCAGTAATATAGATTTTTTTTTTTATGGATGATAATGGAATGGTGCACCCGCCTGCGCTAACGGTTTACGCTGGCGGGGCACCAGTGGAGGATGATAAGATGAGCATGAGCTCAGGTCAGTTAACCCATCGTGACATATTCTCCAAGAATTTATCACGATGGTTTCTAGGGAGAACCACGTGGAGGTCAACCTGACATGGTACATTGCTAGCAATAAGATCATCAATCCACATTACTAACAATTACCGTTCCCCCTAAAACATATTGTTTTTTCTTTTTTTTTTAAATTCTAATATAATATTAGATAGATCGACAGATATATCTAGTATGATGTGATAATTCCTAGATCATGGTTGCCTACACAGCGTGGTTTTGCCAGAAAATAATTTCACCACCTGAAGCAAGATTAGATTACATTTTATTATATCATTGCACGTGACACAAGTACGTTTATCAGATAAAATAACAAGTATTCGGCATGTTTATCTTTTCGATCTATATATAAAGCTGCAGAGTTTGTTTGTTTGACGCGTTAATCATTGGAACCCCTAGTCGGATTAAAATAAATAACCCTGGACAATTAACACAGCGCCATCTAGTCTCAAGCTAAACAGAGCTTGTTTTATGGGTACTAGACAACTGATATAAATATTTAGATTTTTATAAATATCTAAATATATATAACTCAAAGGTGACTGACATAGTGATCTATAAACGTACAGCCCAAACCACTGGACGGATCGGGCTGAAATTTGGCATGCAGGTAGTTATGACGTAGGCTTCCGCTATAAATTCAACCCTAAGAAAATTAACGGATTTTGATTAATTCTATAACAAAATCTGCTGTCTCTCACATATGGGGATACTAACCTAATATAGATTACTATAGAAAATACAATATGGGATAAAAGTTTGTATGAAACTTTGTCAATTTTAAACCAATTGGGCTGAGACTTTGCATGCATAAACCAGACCGATACAAACAGTTATACTCAAGAATACAAATGTTTGCACTCTGAGAGAAATCGAACCCACGACCATCGGAATTAAAGCAGTGTGCTTAACCGCTAGACCAACGAGGCCCTCATATATTATTGTTTACTAGCAGAGCCGGCCACAGAACCGTAGCCACAGGCTAAAGTTCTTGAATGAAATAATATTGCAACTATAAATTGAGATGTAAGCTATCCAATCTTTCAAATTGGATCAAGTTGCACACAATGTGCAAATCAAATTTGCAACCGGTTTAGAAGTTTAGCTGTCCATCGCGGACAAACAACGTGACACGTAATTTTTTTATATAAAGATGTATATCGAGTAAACGTATTTTCTTTCTTCTTTCTAATTCTATATAGTAATGAAACAGACTACTACGAAATAGTACCTAATTTGATAGAGTATAAGAAATATTTTCAAATAATGATACCGACCTGAGCAACATTCGCTTCGTCTGACGTTTCCATGTCATACAGAACTGATTGCCTCTCTTCGTAAATGTGCCCTCTGATAGAGCACGCTTTGAAAATCATCTGGTTTTTAGTTAGGGTGCCGGTTTTGTCTGAGAACAGCACCTCGACCTGGCCCAACTCCTCGTTCAGGTCGGATGTGTTGGCTACAGCTGGATTACCAGTTTCGCTGCATTCAAGATCTTTATCCCAACCGATATAAAGAGAACCTGGGGAATAAGAAACTTATAAATAAGTAATTATTATTTATTTTAATACCACAGAAAACACATCATGTAAATTGGCCTGCATTAAAAACTTTATATATTAATTTGACGTCCAAGGTGGTATAGTGGTTTAACACACCGCTTTACTTTCGATTGTCGCGGGTTTGATTCTCGCACGGTGCAAATATTCGTACTCATGTATATGATTGTTTGTATCGGTCTGGTATTTACAAAAAAAAAATCTAAGTATCAGTTACCTAGTACCGATAACAGTAATACTGCTTGCCTTTGGAACTGGATGACATTGCCTGAATTGTCCAAGGATATTCTTATATAACTCATATATAAAACTAGCTTTTGCCCGCGGCTTAGCTCGCGTTAACTTATCCCCTTAGGGGTGGAATTTATCAAAATCCTTTCTTAGGGGATGCCTACGTCATAGTAGCTTTATGCATGCAAAGTCTCAGCCCGATCGATTTAAAATTGACAAAGTTTCATACAAACTTTCATCCCTTATATTATCCCCTTGGGGGTAGAATTAATCAAAATCCTTTCCTACGTCATAACATCTACCTGCATGCCAAATTTCAGCCCGATCCGTCCAGTGGTTTGGGCTGTGCGTTGATAGATCACTATGTCAGTCACCTTTGAGTTATATTTAGATTCTTGTATCACAATGTTAGTTACCGTACTCAGCCGAATCGGCTAGACCGATTTTTATAAAATTTTATATGCATATTCAGTTGCTGTGCTAATCGGCTACTATATATTTTTCATACCCCTAAGTGATAAGGGTTGTCCACCCCTAATTTTATTTTTTATTTTTGGGACTGCTATTATTATTTTTTATATTGTGCATTAAAAATACATACAACCCTAAATTTTCACCAACTCCTAATTTTTAATAGCGATTTAAATTAAAAAGCAAAAGAACGTTTGTGGGGTCAGGCAGTATTATATATAGTTATATAATTTGTTGGTTATACTTACCAAGAAACTTGTACAATTCAATAGTGACATATAAAGACATCGGTATGATGTAATAGTACAGCAAAAGGAACGAAAACAAATCCTGCAACACGAGCTTCACTTTTGAATAATCCACATATTCTCCCAAGTACAACGTGTGCTCAGGATTATTTCTCTCGATCAGTATCTTGGCGGTCATGGATGCTGCGATCTCAAGCAGCAGTAGCAATATGAAAAACGCAAGGAACGCGTTCACCGCCGACTCGCAAGATGAGAACTTGTTGCTTGTGAATTTTGAGTTTAACGCTAATTTCGTTTCCTCTCCTGAAAATAATTATTCAGATGAATATGATGATGATACTTTAACGCACAAATACAATATTAAAACTACTATATTCAAATGGCTTTTGGAAATGTAATAATACACTAGTAATTCACTTTAATATAGATTATTTAGTAAGTGCATTTCATGCCTGCTGAGTAGGCCAAATAAATGATTCTATTAGCTTTTGCCCGTGGCTTCGCTCGCGTTAATTTGTCCCCTTAGGGGTGGAATTTATCAAAATCCTTTCTATGGTGATGCCTACATCATAGTAGCTTTAGGCATGCGAAGTCTCAGCCCGATTAGTTTAAAATTAACAAAGTTTCATCCCCTATTTTATCCACTTGAGGGTAAAAGTAATAAAAATCCTTTCTTAGCGGATGCCCAAATTTCAGCCCGATCTGTCCAGTGGTTTGGGCTGTGCGTTGATAGATCACTATGTCAATTAGTCACCTTTGAGTTATATATATTTAGATATTGTGATGTTTAGATCAAATCAAATCAAAACAAACTTATTTACGATAAATATAGGTGTCCACTAGCTGTCTTTGTACAATATAATGTACCATTATGTTTTGGTTCTTTAGGCGTTCAAAATATAAAAATATAAAAAAAAAATCATTATTAAAAACATTTGTCGTCAAAGCTATATTGTGTTTAACAAGATATTATATCTACCATATTTGACACAATAAAGTATATTATAAATCTATATATAAAAAGGGAACTTAACACCAAAGGGCGTTTTCTACCAGTCAACCATAATGCAAACTGAGAAATTAGTAAGCCGCACATTTATAGTTCACAAACATACCTATGTGGAAACATTTCGTCATACATATATCATACACATAACACCTAATTTGTCAATAATACATATCATTTGATATACATAAAACAAAAATGATATACATTATAATAATAATAGAAATAATAAAAACACTCAGACTGACACGAATGTCTGTATTGCACGGGAATCGAACCCGCGACTCGGAATTAAGACTATCAAGTAATAAATCAACTAATGTTACCCGTAATTTCGGTTGCTTTTTTGAAATACATGATAATATATGTTTCATCAAATCAAATTACATTCAGCTGTTTATTCGTGAAAATATATCAACAAGACAGATAGACAGACACACGTGACAAAGGTTTAAAGGTTTACTTCCAAAGATAGTAGTCGGTAATATTTAACGTACATAGGTATATGTTATCTAGTTTATTTAGATAAACAGTTTCTACTGAATAGTTTTTCGGACAAGATAAAGTCCGTTAAGATCTGAGTACCTGACTATATATATATATATCATAATTTCAAGATTACAGAGACTATTTATAATCTTAGATCGATAAAATATAGTAGCCAAGAGTCTGCAAATATATTTTGGTAAAAGTGCTCAGAATTATCTATTGAAAACTGTTTGCTCAGTGGTCGAGTGGTTTACTCAAGATTTTTCATCCATGATAATGGAATGCACCCGTCAGCACTAACAGTTTACGGGGCACCAGTGGAGGATGATAAGATGAGCATGAGGTCAGGTCAGTTAGCACATCGTGACAAATTTACCAGTATGGTTCCAGAGGGAACCGCGTGGACATCAACCTGACATGGTACATTACTACTAATGGGGTTACTAGTACACATTCCATCCCTGAAGGTTTGATTCCTCTCAGTACACTAATATTTATATTAATGTGGTTTTGTTGGTATCGGTCTGATTTTTGTAGGTAGATAGTATTTTTGTATTTACTTAGAAGAAATGTATTTAAATATTTCTATCAATAGTCTAGTAATCATTATATGCTCAGTTAATTGATTATTTTTAAATGACTTTCAATTGTGCATGCCTAATTAGACAAAACGTATTACAATCTCAACATATGTAGACTTATGTTTGTCGCAAAATAAATTTGAATTGATTTGAATATACACTTATTTCAACATAAAAACTTAATGTATTTGTTAGCAAAGAAAATTAACACAGATAAAAAAAAATTCAATAATGTTGTGTAGGTACGCTGGGAGTGCCCTACACTACCGTTTTTTTACTACTATGGTGCCAAACAAGCATACGGCCCATCTGATGGAAAATGGGTACCCTAACCTATGGACGCCTGAGACACCAGGGGTGTCACGTGCGCGTTGACGTCCCTTAAGTAACCTTAATATATCCTTCTAGAAAACCCCATGCTGTAGTCTCGTGAGAAAATCTACACGGCGAACAGTCATCTCTTTATTTTCTCCCTTGCCTTATCATCTTTCACACAGTCCATTCATCTCTTTTTCGGCCTTCCTCTGCCCTTATAATCATATCTTATATAATACTTTCTTAAAAATATTCTCTTCATTTCTACGCATTACATAACTATACTAAAAAAAAGGTATATAGGTAAGCTAAAGTACAAGTCCTCCTTATTCAATGTCGGGTAAAAGTAAATTAAAAAAGTAATAGTTCAATAAATTTACATTACCTGTATAAACAGCGCACCCAATTGCCCATTCCGTGTTTTTAACTCTGGACCCTCGTAGCATTAGGTTGTCAGTAGAAAGGGCCATGGGTTCGTATCCCGGGATTGATAGAGATCCATGAAAAGAATATAAATTTGCTTCCGGATTTGGCACTGTTATGCTCATTCCTGGAGGCAACATGTCTAAAAAAACATTTTGATTATAAATTCTGCGATTATATTTAATATTAGGTATATTAAATATAATCGCAGAATAGTAGGGAATATAATTTAAAAAAAAATGGGATATTTGGCTCTTTTTAAAATTATTGTTTAACTAGCTTTTGCCCTCGGCTTAGCTCGCGTTAATTTATCCCCTTAGTGGTGGAATTTATCAAAATCATTTCTTAGGGGATGCCTATGTCATAACATCTACCTGCATGCCAAATTTCAGCCCGATTCGTCCAATGGTTTGGGCTGTGCGTTGATAGATCACTATGTCAGTCAGTCGCCTTTGAGTTATATACAGATTTCAATTAGATTTAGTCCTTTCGAAACAGAATTAAGAGAAACCGATTCAATCGATTACAATATCAATAGATTACAGATTACAACAATGTTATTGTGGAATACAGGTCACTTAGTTAGACTGCAATGGCCAACTTGGAAATCGCTTCACAGACTGCGAACCCAGATGGGCCGCTGCAGGTACAACTTGGTAAAATGGGGTGACGCTTCAAGGGAGGCTTGTGACTGTGGAGCGCCATCCCAGACTATGTGCCCAACATCCTGCACAAAGGAAGATCTAAAAAATGTGACAGAATGCGCAAAAGTCGTCGCAACGTTCTGGGGAAAATATATTTAGTTGCCGTTGAAACGAAAGAAGAAGAAGTTAAACTTATTATATTTATTTATAGAATAGAATAGAAGATTAGCTATATTTATATTGCGAATACTAAAGTCTAAAGTGTCACTTCGTTTTATTGTTTCTTTCGATTCCCTTCCTGGCCCTAGTGAGTAGTGTTCTCATAATATATATGATGTACCTACGTCCTACATGAATCACTGAATCACTGGCAAGAAATGCCAGGATTAACACATTCAAAAGACCTAATATCGGGTTTCTCGACCAAATACTCCAATAGATTACTGCTATTGAGTAAAAACAACATATGCATGATGACTAGGGCCCTCACAGGACACTGCAAATTAAACATATGGCAAACCTAGGCACAACAAAAGTCTGCAGATTCTGCCAAACTGAAGAGGAAACGCCGCTTCACATCCTATGTGGTTGTAGCCCACTCATGCATAAACGAAATATCTCCTTTGGAAAGTTTACACTCTTTCCCGAGAAGATAAAAACGATCGCTCCTAAGAATATCCTTCAATTCTTGTCCCTGACGGGTCTAGGTAGCGAACTCTGAAAAGGGCGAGCACAATAGATCTATGTAGGTCGCAGTGCTACAGGTGCTACACATCTGACAATAGCCCAAACAACCCAATAAAAAAATACGTCCTACATCTTACAACAATTCCTAGGTTTACTAACAATTACAACTTTGCTTCAGGAAAGGGTCTTATGAAAGCAAGCAATTTATTCCAAAAATCTAAATACCTGAACTACACCCGACCAGGGGCGGCGGCACCCTCAAGGTCTTCAGATTGGTTTCCCCATCCAAGTTAGCAGTGGTGACGTAGCATCGGCCCTTAGTGCCCGCAGCACAGAGCAGCACGAGATCAGCCGGCACCTCGCAGCCTCGCTTCACGCGGACCAGAGTGCCGGGACCAATTGTAGAGTTGCGAACCTCCTTTGCAACACCATTATGAATTACCTCCACTGTTGAAGACGAGAACATTATTAATTAGTGTTGGAATGTCATTTACTTTATAAAATAGAAATTGTAATTTAGCGTTAGGGTTGTCAAATACTACTTTTTTATAGTTCACAAAAGAAAAAAAAAGGGATTTATACTTTTTATGAGATACAATAATAATGGCCTATGTGTCTATTATAGACGATTTATGTCGTAATGGTCCGTGAACAGCTTCTTTCGTGGCTGTATACACCGATACGAGAACGGCATGGCCTACCACAGGCCCGACAAGGGAAACTATTGGCAGTAGTCTGTACTGAGCCGCCTAGGTGGCGCTTCCGTCTCTTGTCAGCAAGCCTTTGAAGCCAGGCATCATCGCAAACCCTTCGACCCTCCATTACGCGTTTGCGCCAATCTGATCTATTGGTTGCGAGCTTTTCCCAGCCACGGTGGTCTATTTGAAATGTGGCCATGTCACGTTTGGCGCAATCCTTAAAGCGAAGCAAAGGCCTCCCTACATCTCTCTTTGCATTCGCTATTGCACCGAGCAGAACGCGTCGTGGTAAACGAGAGGGTTCCATTCTGTGCACGTGCCCTAGCCAACGCAGACGCTTCTGTTTAAGAAATGCAGTCAAGCTAGGCAGCTGTGCGATTTCTAGAATCCTCTCGTTGGTTACCCTGTCACGCCATGAAATGCCCAAAATTTTGCGTAGACAACGCATGTAAACAGACCAACATGAGATACAATAGTTAGCACAAATTATATGACTAAAGAAAATATAAGAACAGCTAATCTTAATCTTAATAATATTATAAACGCGAAAGTTTGTGAGTATGGATGTTTGTTACTCTTTCACGCAAAAACTATCTACTGAACGGATTGTGATGAAACTTTAGTCATAAAGCTATATTCCTGTAAAGTTGCATACAAATAACATATAGGCTATATTATTTTTTATTTATATATTGAAATTTAACTCGAGTGAATCCACTGGCACAGCTAGTATATTAATACGTGAAGCAAAAACTTGATACCCTTTTATACGAACATTGCGCTGACGTAAGTGTATGAAATTTCTTATACATATAGTTTATATAGAGAAAGAATGCAAAATGCAAATATTTTTTTTTAATTATGAATAAAAATACATTAAATCAATAAAAAAACATTACATTTACTACAATGTATTTGACACACACATGCATATATATTCATTTATTTATTGTTAAAATCTGCGGTCAAATTGCGAATAGACAAATTTTTATTATATGGCCTTAAAAAATACATACAAGCCTAAATTTTCACACTTCTATAACCAACCCCAAATTTTTTATAGCGTTATTAATTTAGATGGTAAAACAACGTTTGCCGGGACAGCTAGTCGTAGTATAAAAAAAGGTACCAGCTGCCACTCACCGTTCTGATTGTTGACCTTGTTGTCGGCCTTGTGCCGCAGCCAGTCCTCGTAGCCTTGCTTCACAGCTGTCACCAGCACCATGAAGCTGAGGGGCGCCACGCTCGTCACCGGCGACACCGGGCTGTCTGCACCATACACACAACTCACACACTGTCGATTCACAACCTATTTATTATTTTGTAGTATTATAACAACGCAGTATCCACCCATCGGTGGCCATATGTCTTTTTTCATAACAATTAAATTCAAAGTTTGTTGTATATTGTATTGGCTAATCGGAAATGTATTTTTTATTCTAAATTTAGATTTAGAACTAGCTGTACTCGCGACTTCGTCCACGTGGAATTTAACTTTATTTTTCTAAAATAAAAGTAGCCTAAGTTACTCCTTATTACATCAGCTACCTGCCAATGAAAGTCCCGTCAAAATCGATCCATCCATTTCAGAGATTAGCCGGAACAAACAGACAGACAAAAGTTGTAAAAAATGTTATTTTGGTGTATGTAACCGTATTCATATGCATGTAGTAAGAAACGGTTATACATCAGCTACCTTCCAATAAAAATCCCGTCAAAATCGGTCCAGCCATTTCAGAGATTAGCCGGAACAAACAGACAGACAGGCAAAATTGGAAAAAATGTTATTTTGGTGAATGTAACCGTATTCCTATGCATGTAGTAAGAAACGGTTATTACAATATTACAAACAGACGCTCCAAATTTATTTATATGTATAGATTGTAGTTCTTTTATAGTACATTCTTTGTTTATACTTCAATGTCTTGACAACCGTTCCTAATATATATCTCCATATTTCTAGTTTTTTCTGCATTTTCTTTTTATCTATATACATTTTATTAATATTATAAACGTGAAAGTTTTTATGGATGGATGTTTGTTGCTCTTTCACGTAAAAACTACTGAATGAATTTTGATGAGACTTCACAGTAATATAGTTTATATATCAGAATAACACATAGGTTATAATTATAAAAGATATTATGTTAATTGGGAGAAATATAGTGATAAATATCAAGTAAGTGTTATACTATTGTTCAGCTATAAAAATGAATCTAAAGTTTCAACTTTTTACATCAGATTTTATTTCAATTTCCTGTTATTGTATTTTTGGCATTTACACGCATTTAATTATTATTTATCACCAGTTTGGCTGGCTACTTATCTTGAGAACTGGCAGGAATCTCACATGCTACATGTAAAGTGGTACGAAACCCGACTAGCACATTTTTTTTAATCAGTTATGTAACATCCAGACATCTCTATTTGTAGATTTGGAAGCAAGATAGGAGGCAAAGGGCCTCCTATCATACTTCCTTATTACCATGAAATATAATTTATAAAATAAAAAAAAAAATACTTATTTCATTATTTAATAATTTCCGAGATATTACATAAAAATATTGTGCGTAAACGGCTAAGCATTAGTTTCAGTTAGCTTTGTTATGATAAGATAGTATAGATAATGCTCTGTATGAAATTCGTGGAAGCGAATTAAGCAAGGACGCGGATGTATGTGGTTCATATAAGTGTGAGTTATTGAAATATTGCACCACCTGCATGACCTGTCACTTTTCAAAAACAAACCATCTTACTAATTATTTAACTATTTTCATACTGGTGAAACCGCGGGCACAGCTAGTTTTAAATAATAATCCTGAGTCTTAAGGTTAAGCTGAACTATAGAGTATATGTACACGTTTTTTTTTAAATGTTAAAGAAATTTATTATTCAAATGGCTCAAGTCAGTTTATATTTCGAGTTCTAGCAAGAATAATAATAATATCTCAGGACAATTTATACAGGGATTTTTTTATTTAGTCCCAAGCTAAGCAGAGCTTATGTTATGAATATTTGTGATACTAGACAACTCTCGGTTTGGAAGCATGACAGGAGGCTCTTTGCCTTTAAAAATAAACAAATGAATTTGTATATAGTTTGAAAAATTGTGCTGGTAGCAAAATAGATTATATACTTACTGTAAGGTTTCCTTTAAACTATTTTGCTAAATTAGTTATTATATTATCCAAATATTACTATTTTAACACTTAATAATATAAAACTACAAATATTTGGATACTAATAATTTACATAATTATGTTTAATATATCTTTATTTATATTTTTTAGAATTAGAAAACGTCTGTGTCATAGCACCAGAAACTTTTACGAGAAAATAAGTAAATATTATTCCAAGTTCCAGATCTTTAGCGCTAGCGCGGCTGTTGTGTAGCACATATATATAAAGTTTTCTTTTTGTATATATTATAAGAGATACATCATTATTACAATTCATATAGTTACATACATAATTACACTAGCGACCATCCGGCATGATCCGTGTGTAACATTTGTAGTGATTTCTATTTATTTCCAAAACAAAATAGTGCCTGATGTTACAAGCTGTTTTTGTATATTAGTCTAGAGCTAAGCTAAGATAATATTAATTTAAATTCACTATATGATAAAAAAACATTTATTTTGGTCATAAAATGAGATTTAAGTCTTAGACTTTTATACGAGTAGTTTAAGAGGAGAAATTCTGAGAACAGGAAATGTGCATTTCTACCTGTTAGTATGGCTGGCTTGAATTCTTCTAACTATACAACAGCTGTTTTGAATTTCCAAGTAGAATACAATTTCTACTATTTAAATAATATAAATCTTGGAAAAAAATTATAAAAAAAAATCCAATGTGATACTTCAGGGTTAAGTTAGAAATAAAAATTAACATCATAAAGTTCTACCAGGTTTGAACAGAAAAAAATATTTATATATTCTTCATTGCACTTTAAAATACATAATTAAAATATAAATTTGAAATATTTTTGCTAAGGAGACCCTATCTCTAAAAGAGATGTCTTCCATTCATCCTAAAACAGCGTGACCCAGGAAGTGGAGTGTGGGTCACAGAGCAAATAATTATTGTAAGAAAATATAAAGGTAAAATAACATATAATTATCATGAAATTTTTAAAACTGAATATTACAGCGTTTTTAATCTTTTTAATTTAATTTCATCATACAGAGATATTTTATTTTGTTTCAGTTTTTACATTGTTTTGTTATTGCTCGCTATATTTGTGTTTCGTGTTTGTTGAATGATTACCGAATAATCATATATATATACCATATATACTCGTATAACTCAAAGGTGACAGACATAGTGATCTATCAACGCACAGCCCAAACAGGGACGGATCGGGCTGAAATTTGGCATTTTAAACAATCGGTAGATGCTAAAAAAATAAATTCATTGATAGTATTGTTTGTTATTACATTTCCAAAAGCATCCAATTGAAATTCAAATAAGAACATTGTATTTGTGCGTTAAAGTATAAATAAAAAAATATTATTGATTTCTTCCGCTAAGAACAGATTTTGATTTCTTCTACCCCCAAGGAGATAAAATAGGGGATGAAAGTTTATATAAAACTTTGTTAATTTTACACTGATCGGGCTGAGACTTCGCATGCATAAAGCTACTATGACGTAGTAATCCCCTAAGAAAGGATTTTAATGAATTCCACCCCTAAGAGGATAAATTAACGCGAGCGAAGCCGCGGGCAAAAGCTAGTAAAATATAATTTAAAAATACTAAATCAGCGAGATACCAACTAAGGGAGCCCTTCTTTAAATAACAATTAATTATTAATGAAGATCATGTATATGTATATATTTGTATAAATTCACTATTACTGTTACTTTACTCTTGTTCATATATTAATTTTATATTATCTGTTAATTTTATAATGTGTTGCTTTTACGTGATATCAAATTGTTCAAAATTTGTTTGTTGTTATTTGTCAAAGCCTGTCAGTGGTTTAGTATGTCGATTATATTGATTCTATTTATGTATAGTCAGCCTTGGTTTTCCTTTAATAAATATAAAAATAAATGTTATTTTATTTTTTATTTTATTTACTTGGTGTAATCTATATTTTGAATAAAATTACAAAATACTTATATTCTATATTGAATTCTGTTGCTGAACAACCGGTGTCACGGCCGTCATTTAAGTATACGCTTTACGTAACATAAAATCATGAGACGCTGTAGATAAAATATAAAATTGAATACATCAATCATCAAAATCTATCAAGTACTTTGTCTGGGCGCTCCGGCCGTCTAATGACATACAGACACACATATCTATATCATGAAGGTTATATACAATACACTCCTTTTTTTATTGTTGTGCGTGCAGATAATCTATATATCTACTTATACCACTCCTTTACAAACTGATTCATGACGAAATATTAAAACTATAATACTTCTTATAGCATAGGGACAAACGAGCTTGCGGCTCACCTGATGGTAAGTGATTACCGCCGCCCATAAGCACCCGCAACACCAGAGGAACTGCAAGTGCGTTATCTACCTTTTAGGAAGGAATAAGCTCTTTTCTTTTCTTTTCTCGTTTCAGTATATTCGACACTATACTTTCATACTTTTTAGTTACGGGCCTTTTAAGATAAAAGAATAAGCTCTTTTCTTGAAAGTTTCAGTATATGTACACATACAATACATGTACTTTTTAGTACATATTAATATTTATGCATATATTTTATATTATTGCCTGTGTGATTACAGAAGTACAATCTTTGACTCATTTAATAATGTTTAAACTATAATTTATAGTAAGTATAGTTGAATTTCAACCACTGGACGACTACTAGTATATATATATATTGGAGTGTCTGTTTGTAATATTGAAATAATCGTTTTTTACTACATGCATATGAATATAAATATGGTACATACACCAAAATAACATTTTTTTTCAATTTTTGTCTGTCTGTTTGTTCCGACTAATCTCTGAAATGGCTGGACCGATTTTGACGGGACTATTATTGGCAGGTAGCTGATGTAATAAGGAGTAACTTGGGGTACTTTATTTTAGAAAAAATCTTTTTTTTTAGAAAAATAAATTAAATTCCAATATGACTGTGGATGGATGTAAAGGGAGGGGACGCCCTAAGAAAAGATGGATGGATTGTGTGAAATATGAATAAAAGAAGAGTATGCTCAGATATGACGACCGATAGAGAGCAGTGGAAGAGAATGACATACTGCGCCGACCACAAATAATGACAAGGCAATGATGATGAAATTTAATTCCACGTACATATATATAGATATTGTGCACTTTCATACCAATAACGATTGCGATGACTGTGACAATGAGGAAGTAGAAGTTGACCACTCTGCGGAACTGCTCGGAGAGGTTCTTCGGTATGAACATGAGGAGGCTGTACTTGGATGTTTTGATCTTGTTGTGCTTTCTCCTGTCTGCGAAGTCCACCTCACCCACTGTGATGAGGCGGGTCTCCGATTTGTTGGATACCTTATTTCCCTGTAAATAAGTGTACGGGTTAGTATGTAATTATAGAATAAACAATTTTGTATAGACCCACTTATTTCTTTAATCTACTGTTCATTCGGAAAGCTTATACTATAGAATAGAATAGAACATTCTTTATTCAAATATACTTTATTTATTTATTTATTTATTTTAGGTAATCAACAGTTATACAATTTATAGACAATTATTACTTAGTTAGTAAAGCCAATAACAGATACCTCATGAATTTATCTTTAATATTAAAGTTATATTTAAATTGGTTATATAAAACAGTTACACACTTAAACATTTAAACAGGTCAGAACCAAAGATACTTAACTATTCAAAAGTACTTAAATTTAAGTACTTTTGAATAGTCCTACTTATTTTTTTAATCTGCCGCTCATTCCGAAAACTGTCTCACAACAAAGACAACAATCAAGAATTGGCGCGGCGTGTTGCACTATTAAATAATTTTTAATGAATAAAAATAATCTAATTACATAAACTGAGTCTGAATACAAACTACCAATTAGCACTAATTTATTAGAGAAAAAATATTAAAACTTACTAATATTACTAATGCGAAAGTTAGTGAGTACGAATATATGAATGGTTGTTGCTATTTCTAACTACTGCACGGATTTCGATGAATCTTTACATCAGAATAACACATAGGCTATAATTATACACATATAATATAAGCTATAAATAGGCACAACTAGTAGACAAAAAGATTAAATTAGTAGTAGAGATTAGAGCAGACCAGTCCCTACAAACAGCGCCCGTTCACGAGTATGACGGTTGAGCCTGCCATCACTGCGCTCGACCATATTTTAGTAAGTATAATGACCCAGCCTACCACGCGTCTACATGTCTGGACTTTCAGTGAGCATGACTACTCAAGACACTCGACCACGTCATATAGTACATATTTAAATTAATATGTGGTTGTAAGCTGTACCACAGATAATATAATATTACATAACTGTACCAAGCCTGTAACTTTATATCCAGGGTCGTTGTAAAAAAAAGAAAAAAAAACACGTGATTGTTTTAAAATTATCATGACTTTAGATAACTAAGGCATTCAAAAGCATTTAACTACCCGTAGAACTCTTTGATCATGGAATAATCCACAATACATATACATTAAAAAACAAATCGCGTAGACCTACTATGTAATTACGTTACTACATTAATACTAATAAAATTGCATGCGCACAGCCGTGAGAATTTTTGCATGAGACATTGAAAACCAATGTGTTTTCTTTATAGAAATCAATATCAATTAATTACAATAGCAAGGTCTACAGCTGATGTCCCGTTTCCATCATTCAATATGAGGATATCTGTGACTGTCTGTGACTCACGGTGTCACTCACCGTTCAAAACAAATCAAAATATCTTTAGTCATGTACGTCTATCAAAATATCTTAGTCATGTAGGTCTATTACAGACTGTTATGATATGTCAAATCTATCGTCAATTCGGAGTGCTTTCGAGCTAAGAAGAATTGACAAGAAACTTAGCTCTTATTCTTTTCAAATGAGCTCGTACATGATTGCAAATATACAGATCCAATTTGAAATTAAAACAGAGATTATATTATTATAATGACAACCAGCACATGTTATTGCAATTTTCAAAAAAGTAAATAATTGTATCAGTAACCCTAACCCAAACAGACCAGTCCCCACAAGCAGCACTCGCTATAATTTTCACGCGGGTGAACCATGGGCACAGCTAGTACATAATATCTCACCAGGGGGGAAGGGAATTGTTAGTAATGGGAACTAGTAACTCCCATTGCTAGCAATGTACCATTTTAGGTCGACCTCCACGCGGTTCCCCCTGGAAACTATCGTGATAAATTCGTAGTGAATTTGTCACGATGGGCTAACTAACCTGACCTCATGCTCATCTTATCATCCTCCACTGGTGCCCCGCCAGCGTAAATCGTTAGCGCAGGCGGTTGCATCATTCCATTATCATCCATAAAAAAAAATACCTCACCACGCCTACCCAACGCGCTAGGCGGTGCCCTCAGTCTAAAGTCGTATCCGTCAGACGGGAGTTGGCTTTCAGCAGCTCCATAAATCCTTCCGCGTGTTTAGAGTGCCATCTACACTCGCCCCCTACCGTCCTATGAAGCTGTAAAGGCCAGCTGCGGCGAACAGCATTAGAGTAGTCCAAAAAATGCATCATTTCCCCCGGTTTTGCTACATTTTTTTACAGCTCCGCTCCTATCCGTCGTCTGTTATATACCTTTCTCGATAAGCATGCTATTCAATACTAAAATAACTTCCAAATCGGTTTAGTAAATCCAGAGATTACCCCTATCCTACCCCTCTTTATAATATTAGTATAGATAATTATATAGTTGTTATCAGGTTTAGTCTATAGATATAGATAGATATAGATAGCAGAAGATGGATATATTTGCTGACGGTACATTCATCGTATTTCCGGTAGATAAGACTCTTTAAAGCCTTATCCATTGATAAATTACATGTTATTTTACAGTTACAATTACTAGGCGTATCTTTTTTTATATATGATGTCGGAATAATGACTGTGTTGACGATATGTATGACCATCACTACGGAAATCACGTTATATGTGATACCGGATTAAGATGACATGCTTCTTATCCTGTAACTGCCCAATCGCACTTACAAAGCATGCTGTTTGGCGGCTGAAATCCAGGGATGTTAGGGCTCCATAACCGTAACCGAAACTATCGGATATCCGATATAAAAAAATATTCGTAACCGTAACCGAATCCGAAATAAAAGTTTCGGATAATATCGGATAGGGGCGAAGCGCAATTGAGACACGTTATGTAACCATTCTATTAGCTATTTGCATTTTGCTTTAGAAATTCCTAAAAAAATTATATCCGTAACCGAAATTATCCGAAACTAACGGATAATCCGAAATAATTTTATATCCGTATCCGTATCCGGTATAATAATGATTCCTATATCCGAAACCTATCCGTATCCGAAATTTCATATCCATAACAACCCTGCTGAAATCGGTAAAACTGAGGCACCGTACGCTGATGACTTTTTACAAAGTTTACGCTAGTTTAACTGTTGACATGAATATTACAAACGAGTTACTATATAAGAAAACTAGCTGTACCCGCGACTTCGTCCGCGTAAAATAGTGACCTTGAGCAAATAATAAAAAATATATATTAATAATCTAACCCAATAAAAAAATTTCATCGTTCTAGCTTCAAAAATGAAATTTCCATACATAATTCCATACAATTCAATCAACAGCCAAAAACTAAGTTTCAAACTACTATCTTTAAAATGAAGATACTTCCATACATACCATACATACATTACATCTTCAACCCCTTATAACCCTTTTTCTTGTTTTTTTTAATGCTACTTATATTAGTGTCATCATGTACCAATGATAAGATGTCGCTATACTGTAACCATTTATGGCTGAGTCCTGTGGCGGTAGGTACTAATATTATCTCAACAGCCTAAAAAATGGGTTTCAAGTTTCTAGCTTTAAAAAATGACAAACCATACAACATTTTAACTCCCCTTTTGACCCTTACAACCCATTTTCGTTAATTATATTTAATCAATACGCAAAAAAATAAGATTGAAGCTTAAACTTTTAAAAAATTCCTCTTTCAGTCTCTTATAACCCTTTTCAGCATTAAAAAGTTACCTATGTCCTATCTCAAGATCTAGACTTTAAAAATTTCATTTAAATCAGTTCAGAAGTTTTGGCTTTTAAGACAGACAGACAGAGTCACTTTCACTTTAATAATATTAGTAAGGTATTTATTAAATAAACTGACCCAAAAAAGCGTAAGAAAAAAGCTTCATCGTTCTAGCTTCAAATATGACGAATTTCTATAAAATCTTTTATCTGCTATTTTATTTTACCCCTTGAATGGAGACAATGTGATATTTACAAATTTAAATGTCATATTTATTTATATTTAATAAACAGTTTAAACATAATAAAATTGGTGGTCCAGTATGGCCAATAACATAATAAAATTTTGTTAAATCAAAATAATAGATATGATATTCTAAATTGCAAACTATCCCTCTACTTGAAAAAAATCTCTGACTCTACTGGCCAGAATGGAGAAAAGCGTATTCCGAACCTGAATAGCTCGGATGGAACGGTACAAAAACTGTTGTTCATAAATTACAACATTTTTAATATTATATGTTGTTTTATTCTTCAAAAATATTAATAATATGTTCTTACACTCTTGTAAATCTATTATAGGCTATACCAGGATTATAATTATGTATTTATAAAATAAAATTGCAGAGCAAACGTTTATTCATTTAAATTCAAAGGAAAAATTGACAAAATCAGTTGCGCTGCTTATACAAATGACATATATGTTTATTTATGACATATGAGCGTTAATAAGTCGCATATTTATACAAGTACTGGTGTATTCAGAGAAAAAATTTTTGGGATGATTTATCAAATCAATTGAACCCAAAACAATGGTTGTTAGAATTCTTGCCTGTTTGACTGTGCGTTTGTATGCGCTAACGTCAAAAAATACGGAAATGAAGAACCACTTCATTTCCGTATTGAAATCGCTCACGAATATCACATACGAGTGTGACAAAGTCACATTACAAAACTCTTCGTTTATACTAAACCAATGTCGAATCGATAACCATCTTTATTTGGAAATGGTCAAGAAAGTTCGCCACAGTTTGCCCGTATATCTATTCTAATCCATTTTATTGATATGTAAGGATGACCACTTAACAATTTTTGCTGAGAGAAACTAAAAAGGCGTCTGCGGAATATGCTCAGCTATTTCATCAACCAGTTTGAATAACAGTGGGATTATCAGAGCAGGATATTGTAGACTAAAAAATTAAAAGATGTAACTGATATAACATCGATATAATGTACAGTGCAATAAAAATAAATCTGTTAAACATATATCATTATAAAATTTCAAAATAATGTGTAAATTTATCAAATACTTCAAT